TCCATTAGAATTTGAAATTAAGGTGAGGATGTTAATGTTCTGATATAAATTAATCGCAAGAAAATAAAATTGCAGGATTCAAATGGCTTATGTCAGCATTACTTGATGACTTCGGTGTTTCCAACATTTGGAAACCCAAAAACACATGTACAATGAATATATCACTATTTAAAAGCAATCTTCAAAGTCGTTTCTGTGACCAATTTATTCAAAATTGGTTCTCTCCTATTGACTCTTCGTCTCGTGGACAATTCTTGTCCATCTTTAAAAACAGCTTTTTCCTAAAATCATATCAAATTATGTTTAATTCTAAAAAGTGTATAATTATTAGCAACTTTAGAATGTAGAATTTAAAATAACCCATTGGTGCCTCTAGATGGGTTGGTATACCCACATAACACGATGTAATGATGGTATTGAGGAGTAATACTACTACCAAGTTTATTTCAATGTAATAACACTATTGTAACCAATTATAGATATAAGTACCTTCCCTTATTTTCATTATATAACTCCAGGTGTAGCGAAAATGGTACATGTACAACCGACTTTTATTAGTTATCGTTAGCTACTTTCTTAAAAACTTTTAAACCAGTGTACTTAACACTTACTATATGATTTTATTACAATTCCATTTCCATTGTAATTTTGAAATTGAAATCAAATCTTGTTAATATTTACAATGGTATACCATTGATTATGATTATTTATATTCCTCGATTTATTTAATATATACCATTGTATCATACCTCTATTACCCTATCTGTCATGTATGTTGTTTCGTAAAATGGATCTCTTGTAAGACACATTTGGCTCGAGGCACATAAAAATCTGAAATTTTTTTTCATAAAAAAAAACTGCTGAAAAGAAAGCTTTATAAAAAAACTATGTAGATATCTATAATTATTGATTTTAACAAAACAAATAATCTATTGAATTAATGATGAACTTGTCGCAAACAAACAATAAAAGCAGATTATATTACATGACTGGAAAAACACAGATTTAAGACACATTAATGACCAAATCGATTTAATTCCTTATTTCCCATAGCTTCTATATATGTAATCTTGCTGCAAGGGGATGAATGATTTTTTTTCAAATACTGTTTTGCTCTTCTATATATGTAATCTTGCTGCTTTTTAAAATGTTTGCCATTGTTAACGTTGTTAAATTGCTGCTGTGAAGTCATGTCATTGCCTTCACCGGAGACCTGCTCGGCTTCTCCTTGGATATGACAAGGAAATCTCATCCTATTATATCGTGGATATATCTGTCCAGGGTAAGTGAAAAATAAACATTTTCTATTGATGATAATGCTAAAAAATATTGGGTACACACGAAGCCTTGTCTTGTTATCGCCGTCCATCATAGAAATCTTGATATCAGAAATCCTTGTTTATCGAATTAACTGTGACCTATACACACTGAAATTGAAAGAAAAAAATCTGGATAGAAAAATCGATATTGCATCTTATTATAACACTCAGTTTTAATTAAGAGAGTATAAGTGGTAAAATTAAGTAAGAGATACATGTATATACCACTGAACTTACGTAGCTATTTCAAAATGTGTTTAGACACAAACAAAATGGCTTGATATCATATAATAGTCCATAAATTCCTATTACAGGATTAGGGATAAATGAGCACTATTTACTAAACTTTATCTTAATGTTTAAAATGTCCATTAAATCTAACATAAATTAATCTTACAATGGTTATCTCCCTTGTACAGCGTTACATAGTGCCTAGGTACTGAATGTCGGTGCACTTCCTAATCTTATACTGTAAGGAACATCGCATTTGTGATCTGTTTAAATTATCCGAGGGCTTATCTCCCATGGTGCTTGTAACTTCGACAATAAAATGACAAAGATGAAATCCGCATGTTTTAAACTGAGATTTTAAAATATTTCAGTCATAATTGATCAGTCGCTTTAGGCTTCAAACCTAAAATTGCAGCCAATCTAACGAGAGTTTCAATGTATTTCCAATAGGTTTATGCCGTCAAGATTAGAGAGATTATGCACTACCGCCATTGCAAAATAGAATAAAAAGTGTTTTTGAGCCAAATGCAGGGAAATAATCAGTTTACAATGAAGCCTTTGAAACGTGTGATTGCTTAGATTGTGACATACAAATAAATTTCTTCACAGAAAAAAATCTATATAAGATTAAATCATATAAGGCATTGCCTGAATGTCAATTCTGACTATTACCGCGACCAGCTGCGGATTTTAGGATTTCAGGTGAGAGGGAGCGCACATTTGTACAGAAAATCGCTTCTTATATGTTGTCGTACAAAACCTCAAAAAATAAATTAAAATATAAGGTATAATAATGTTATGATACTTTATTTATAAATCTAAAACGTAAAGGGACGGTGACCGTGACTGTGATCGTACCCTCGGTGCTGGTTATTATGTACTTGACGGCAAAGATTAAACGTACTTTATTGCGAATAATTTACAAAAGGATCGGGCAATATTTTATAAAACATAAATACATGGAGAGAGAGAGAGAGAGAGAGAGAGAGAGAGAGAGAGAGAGAGAGAGAGAGAGAGAGAGAGAGAGAGAGAGAGAGAGAGAGAGAGAGAGAGATATTCAGTCACAATCTACTTGTGAATGGTTATGCAATTCTGAACTGATAATTTTTTTTTTTTTAATTTCGGATCGCCGTATATCAGAAACCCTATCGGTGAAACTCTCACTGAATGGTGGTAACGGTCTTATAGATAGATATCGGTTTAGAGTGTATTAGAGAGTGTCTTTGTCTCAAAAGGGGACATTTTAAACGTCATTATGCTCAAATTTAAGAACATATTTAAATGAGTTATTCAAATATGCAAATTAGATTTTATCCGATATTTCTGGTCTACGCTTGATTAGAAACGACGTATTATAAAAAGTAATGAACAAGGACTATGAAGGTTAGTTCATAATTTGCGAGTGATTGGAACATAAATAACTGCAGATTTCCTTATTACGTTTTCGTTTTCTTTTCAACTGTTTTGATAATTACTGAAACGCATTAAAATGATAAAATGAACTTGTTTATACTTCTTTTATAATGTATGACCAGCCAGTAATAAATTATTAAACCATGGATGAGTTTTTGAAACGATTATACATAATTCATGGAAAATGTAAAAAAAAAAAAAAAAAAAACATACTGAAAGCGTTATTTTGTACTGTAATATGGGTTATCTTGTCAGAGGATATTACGAGTTACCTACGTGTATATAACCATTTTGTTGTAGTATGTCATTGTCTGCCAGTTTTTTTTTTCTTTTTTATTATCATGCGCTTAACATGTATACTGTATTTAATTATTTACTTTTAGTGCCATATGCTTCATAACATAATTTCTAGATTATTACTTGTTGTTTTAGATTATGATATATTAACATGTATTCGGTCAATTTTTATGTATACTGGACGTTCCGGCCTTTTAATTATCATTTATATATGCTGCATGAGGTTTTTTGTCGCAGGAATTTTGTTAACTAGCAGTGTTTGTAAAGTTATCTGTGATATATATTTTGATTTCTTATTGTAATGATTTGTTTTGTGTAAATATAATTGTTTTGTTAATTTAAGTCGTAATAATAAGTCTACAGAGCTAGTGTTTTATTGTTTAAAAACACGACTCTTACTTACAAAAAATCTTGAACGTGCATCGTCTGTACATTTCTTGCTGGGCTGTGCGGAGTGACGTCCCTTGTGCGGACTTCTCTAACACGGAGGCTATGAATTTAAATTCGTTTGTCATAGCCCGCAATTTTCAATGTGGTAAGTAACCATAGCGGTGTATGATATGCTATACGTCGACGTTAAACAAGAGTCAGATGCAACATTCACAAATACTATTCTACAATGCAGGATAGTCAGTATACGAGGGAAATAACAGCCATTGGTGATAATTCGAAAGATTTTTAATCTTTCGCGCGAGACAAAAAAGAACCGGATTAGCGATCATACGAAAGGAATGTGAATTTTTACAATGTACTAACCACAAACTCTTGGACACATATCTTCCATTAACCAACTAGAAAATATCCATAAATCCACAACACAATACGAGATGATGTGATACAGCAGATCCAGAAAACCTTTTCGAAAAAAATGATCGAGTTATTCCCCTTTATACGTAATATCATTTTTTTTTAGATTTTTATTTAACTCCCAACTTAAATTTTGTAAAGCAATACTAAATACAAAATTGGCACAAATTACGATTTAACATTGAGAAAAGGCTAAAGATGTAATTGCTATTTAATATTAATAAATCAAATATGCAATCTCAACACGAGAACTGGACTGGAGTCAAACATGCTACTATGAGACCGTTTCTTGTCAAACATTACAACACTCTATATTTTCCAATTCCAAGACTTGAAGAATTTTATGTCCCAGATCAACTTAATAAATAAGTTGATTCAATTCCAAACACAACAGATTGATTGAGTCCTTTTCATTAATGAAAGATCATAATTACTTTAGTGGACTTAAAATTGAAACAATTACATGGTAGTATGTACTTTGTGTCAGAATAAGTCGGGGAACTGTGCTTTGTGTCAGAATAAGTCGGGAGTTCCCCATAAGTGTTGCAGTTTTACACCCATTGAAAATCAAATTTTATATCTATTCAAGATATTGTCCCTTATCATACATATATAGTGCAGAACTAGGGAAATCCTAATTTGATTTAAGATTTCTTGCTCTGATTGAATTAAGAAAAAGAAAATTAAAAAACTTTAAAAAAAAATTAACGTATCGGTTACAAATGATGTCAGATTCATCTTCTTTTTCTGGTATGTGTACATGCACAAATATATGCCTTAACACTTTTTTACTTGCATTCAATTTTTACTTATGTAGTATTTTTGCTTTACCTATAGGAACGAAATTTGTATAACTTGGCTGGGATTTTGAATTCTAATATAAGTTGAAAGGATCCATCGAATGCTACACATTGAAAGTACAGATGTATGAAAATGTCATGGAAAAGAAAACACCCTGAACCTGCATCTATTGAGACTGAAGAGGAGAGGTATATATCTGGACTAAGCATACATGTCTTTAAGTCTTCCTATTTTTAAGAAAGCCTCAGTGTTATGATTGGATTTTGAATAATTCTTAAACCTTGCATCCAGTGATAATAATATTATATAATTAAGTTAATTTTGTATTAGTGAATTTCTGAGGACTGGGGTCACTTAAGCAATACTGTTTTCATCAGTACTAAATCAAATAAGTAGCAGGTAATCTTAGAGTAATATAGGAATTGCAGAAAGCATTGATTTTCACTAAACTCTTTCTCTTTTAGAATTCACTTCAAATTGGGAAAGTTGTATGAAATTGTAGTAAATACTAGAACTTCTCTTTAGCTTGATCGATTGAGCATATTTCCCAATCACCTTAGCACTACATATGTAAAGACCTGAGTCCCTTGGCCACTGGTCTTCACATTATTATTGACGTCTATAAAAAACAAGGTACTGTATTTAACAACAATTCCGAAACAAGTTATTTCAACTTATACTAATCACTCTTGTTGGCCTGGATGTATGCGCGTGAGGGGTCTAATTGTGGGAAGAAACCGGAGTAACCATGAAAAACCCATGTGGTCGGGCAGGTGACTCTTACCTTTCCACCTCCTTTCCATGAGTCGAACCCTGGAAGGCTAGGTGAAAGTCGAGTGCTTTACCACTGCGCCACAGGATCACCCTGGTGATGACAATCTTATTCTTGACATTCTTGGGTGTTGGGTACCATTTTTAGCCTAGTGGGTTGTGATTCATGACTTGAAGACCATGATATATGGTTCACATTTATTTCTTGAGCTCATAATAAAACAATGTAACAGAGGCCATTATTCATTTCAATGCCTCTGCAAGGAATCAAACTTGGGACCTCAGGCTAACTAGTCTAAATCAAGCTAAAGAGAAGTTCTCCCAAGCTGAGCGATAGTGTTTTGCCAGGGTTGCATATGTGTTGTACGTGTTATTGAAGCATATATTGACAAACTATTGTGCTTTCAATTCCATGATAGACAAAATTTAGAAAACAAAATATTGTCAAATTGTAAGTGAATTCAGCTGCCTCCGAGCAATAAATTTCTTGTCTTTGTATTGATATCTTTAACATAATTTAGATTTATGATAACACGTGTAGCTTTTTTGATTGCTTTTGATTGCAGAGCTTGTGAACTACAGTAAATGTTTGAGAAATATTATTTGTTCAAACTTCACTTTGTATCATTAATTTGTCTGAAGAAATAAACATATTTAATAGATATAAACATTTGTATGAAGTATGTTTTGAATTAAAGTTAAGTTTGCTACCATGACAGTTTGTCCCTATAAATAAGTCGCTTGTGTAAAACAAAAGTAGATGTTCAAATAATTTGCAAATGTTTACATGTAGAAGTAATAGCTTTTTCTGTTTATTGTAGGTACTTTCTTAATCCAGATTCAGTAAGTTCTCATCTGTATTGCTCCATATGCCAGGATGTTTTTTCTGATCCTCAAAGGGCACCTTGTGGACACAGCTTCTGTAAAAAGGTAACTTCACTCAATGTAACAGATTCCTATTTGTGTATCTAGTTCTTTTTATTTTGTACATAATCACCAATTTTTATACCCCCTGCAAGGAAGTTAGGGGGGTATACTGGAATCAGGTTGTCCGTCCGTCCGTCTGTAGACACATTTTGTCCGGCTAACTCCTCCTAAACCTGTGAACCGATTTTGATGAAACTTTACAGGAATATTAAGGATCATGTGTAGATAATCATGCCCCTTTCTTTTTTTGAAAATTTTGGTTGCCATGGTAACTGGTCACTATAAACAAGTTTTCTAATAAATGTCCATATTTCCTCAGTTATTTGACCGATTGTATTCAAACTTAGTAAAAAGATGTAATTCAGTAAGGCCAATAATTGGACATATTAGACGTTTCCCAAACTGTTACCGCGGAAACACAATCCTGGCCTCTGATTGGTCAAAATTTGGATATTGTCTAATTTTGACCAAATTTGGTATATAGCGTTATTAGGGGATGCCAAACATTATAAAACAGGTTTCGTTGCCATGACAAACATGAGTGTTCAGTGTAGATCAAGAACATAACGTTGCCATGACAAACATGAGTGTTCAGTGTAGATCAAGAACATAACGGCAGACATTTTTTTGTCTCTGTGGCCCTTCAGTGGAAAATATTACTTCAATAAAGATGTAAGTATTGCAAGACTCTCTTGATCATGAACAACATGTATTCCACCCCTTCTGACTTCCAGAAATGCAGGCACATGCAGAATATGTCAATTACTCTCAGAATAACACTCTAACTTATCCATTGACTCGTTGCAGTGTGCGGGGGGTATTGGTCAGCCATCTAGGCGACAGTTCTAGTTGTTGTTGGAATCAATGTATACGCAAGCAAAAAATATAATTTTCAGATGTGTATGGAATTTAAAATCTTGATGTTATACAATGTATCACAAAAGAAGTGTTAAAATCATCTTGTGACTAAATCTTATGGTTATTAAATTGCTTGTTGACAATAACATTGATAAATTAGTAAGTGTTTAAATGATATTGATACATAATCTGCATTCTCAACTTTCAGTGCATTCTGCCTTGGCTAAAGCACAGTAAAACATGTCCGGAGGACAGGTAGGATATAAAAAGTTCACTGTGATTCTTCTCTCCATGTGGATATGTGGTACAAATGTATCACACTTTATACATAGTCATCTATACAAATGTATGAGGGGCAAACCAGTGTGGCTTTGTACGACTAACATACAAATGCAGTTTTAAATAGAGTTTCTTACACTCCTCTGACAAATTCTTGCTTCTTTGACCTATTTTGTAGAGCTATGAATTACTCAATATTTTGTAAATATTGTTATATATTGTATTGGACCTGAAAATGAAATCTTATGAAATATAAACCAAACCAGGCCCAAAACTACTATTGTATATTGTGTTCATATTTTCCTTCTTTTATCATCAAATATCAACATATAATGCATTACAGTCCAGTTCTTGTTTGTTTATTTTTCATAGAAAAACTCTACACATAGGACAACTTCATCATGACTTCATTTTGGAGAATATCATAGGTGATCAAATGGTAAGAAACAACATTGTCAAAGTTGGTCAACTTCAAATATAATAGATCCAGGTCCACTGTACCTTTTGTTATACAAGGTAAAGGTACTTGGTGGGTATTTGGTGAAATTTAACATTAAATGTAATGTAGTTTGGTGTCCATGAATTAGATGCTTTAATCAAAATCACTTAATTCAGACTTCAAAATTCTATTTTTGAAAGTACATTGTATTGTCAATTTACAGTTTGGAGAAATGACCTCCCTGTGAAAAAAAGTTATGATTTATTTTCTAAGTGAAATGTGAAATATCAGAAATTTAATGACGATTACAACTTCTATTAAACTATTTTAGTGATGTGACAGCTCTGGCAAGTGTAAACATGCATGTACCAAATTTAAACACTGGCCAAATTCACAGAATTGTCCCAGTCTAAACCAAGGGTACATTTGTTGAAGATCTTATCTGAAGAGATGTGGATGATGAGTACTTATTAGATCTGCACTTATTTGATTTTTTCAGTCCTGTAATTGTCAATTGTTTTCACTGTTTCAACCATTTGGCCATGTTTTCTTCTTGCAGGTTGCTTGTCCTTTCCGCAGATCAGGGTGTGAATTTATTGGACAGCTTCAGAGATTGAATTCACATAAGAAAAGTTGTGATTTCAACCCAAAAAACTTACCTGAATTCATTAAAAAGAATACACCTGTTGAAAATGGTAAGTGAATAGATGGAAAGAACTGTGATTGAATCATGGAAAAATGAGGGCAATGTCAGATTATGAGATCTGCATTAAAAAATCATATTCTTTTGGTTTGAAGAAGTGTTGGAGAAGGGACTGAGAGGAAGGGTTTTAAAGCTGGTACATTTTGCACAGGTGAAACATATCTGTACATGCATTTGAAAGAATAATGGTCATGGAGCATGTGAATACAAACATGGAACTTGTCCACATTACTTACTAAACCCATCCAGTTATGAAACAAGCATGTAATCAGAAATTGTGAAATGTGTTTCTTATATAGTTTCTGAAAATAAAAAATGGAACTCTTTTCTTGACAATATATAAAACTTATCTGTTTTACAACAATTGCGAAGCAAGTTTTTCAAACTTATATTAGTCACTCTTGTTGGCTCGGATGAAAGTGTGCAAGGAGTCTTAGTGTGGGAGGAAACAGGAGTACCTGGGGAAACCCATGTGGTCGGGCAGGTGACCTCATACTTTTTCACTTCCATTCTGGGAATCGAACTCTGGACGACTAGTTGAAAGGCGATTACTATATCCTGGAACACTTAGTACAGTAGAACCATTTAACTAATAGAAATATCTTTTCTGTAACTTTAAGGGAGAATTCGGAGGGTTTACCTATCTCTAATTAACGTTGAAATCCCTGAATAAAACTATCATAGTGATGATCCATGACAAAGCTAGATTATCATTATGTATACATGTATTATAATATAACTACTTTTTTTCATATTTGATTCAGCAGCTGAGAAGTCCATTGGCATTACAAGTGATTTAGAAGTTATTCCATCCCCTGGCAAACCCTCGCTTATGATGAGACTATTTCGTGCTGGAGATGACCAAAAGAAACTTTTAGGAACTATGTTTGAAGACAAAGAAAATAAAATGTGATATTCTTTCAAACAATGTATCCAATATGCTCTATTTTTTGTTAATTTATACATTTTTGTGGTATACATGTAATTTTGAAAACTTTTGTCACCATCTTTAAGCTATGTTAAATCATACAAAAAAATGTGTAATAATCTTAGTATTGTTATATACGTATACATATAATTCAATTTCAAAATGATATTTAAATTGAAATTATATGAGTTTTTTGAAGACTTTACATGTAATAAATATACATTCACACACTGATTAAGTGCTGTGTGTTATGTCTTATACATATAATAAAGCGGAGATGCTTACATCCTTAACACCTAGACTTATCAGCCTTGTACTTTTTTAAGAGTGTCCGTGTAAATTATTCTGTTGTTTAAAGTTTGCACTTATTTCATCCATACTGAGTATAATTTTTTAAATGTGTCAACATTTGCTTCTTATCGAAAAAAATGAATATAATAACTGGCTAAAGTGACATATTAATTACTTCACTCTCATCGGACTTCAAAAGTTTTTGTGATGCAAGATGGCAACTGTGATTTTATTTCGTTTAGAAACTGAGTTTATTCTTGTATACAGTAATTAGCGGCATCAATATGTCTGATGATATTTTATGGCTTGTATTACAGATTAACAAGGACATATAGGTAACTGGTACATGTACCTTGTAACATTCACAAGTAATTATACATTACGTCCTGACTTCAGTATTACAAGAGATTTTAGATCTACCTATATGTAATAAATGTTTAATTGATTGGTTTGAAAATTAAATCACTGACAAAGGTATGAATTGAAAAGTCTTACTCAGGTAATGGGTATTGTTGTATAAACTCAAGGCCACCACACATGAACGTTTTAAAAAAAGCCAAACATTTCACTTCTTTTTGCTATATCTGTTCAACAAAAGTCAAGATTACATTGTATAAAACATTATGCATTTGTTGACTTGATTCAACATGTTGAAATAGATAAATAAACTGTTGCTGAAGGCCAAAGGCAACATTTGGATCCAAGGGTTCAACATAACACATGTTGACAGAAAATCCAGTCAACAAATGTTTTGTTATACCGTCTACCGTTGATCTATAAGAAAACGATTGACGAGACAACATTATATCAACAATTTTAATTCTGAAATAAATAAAGAAAACAGGGATGTGTATAAGTGTCAATTATATTGATGTCAGGTAACGACCGGAAGTACCGAACAGTAATGAGCTGTGACTAAGCAGTGAACATCAAGAACCTATGTTCTGTGGCAAACATCTGGAATTTCAGACTTTATTTACTATAGAATAGTATAGAAGATAAAAAGTAAAGGTATAACACAAAACGTGAACTCTGGAATGACAAGGTGGCATTACTAAGTACATGTAGATGTGCAGTTTGGACCACTTTTGCTATTTTTCCAGACAAATCGGTTGGCCATTATATATTGTTGCTTAACGTCCTGTTAACAGCTATGGTCATTTGAGGAGGGTCTTCGTATGTGAGAGACTTGGATATTTTGATTAAGTCTCCTTGTGATAGTGCTACCAAACTGAAGTACCCAGCAGGATACCCCACATGGTCACATTATACACGTCCTGGCAACCACAGACCAGTTGTTAATGTGACCCTACCCAATATGGAACCCTAACCCAAAACGAAACACTTCTAAAATATTTGATACATGGTTTTTATTTTGCTGTATAAAGGAATATTAACTGATCTTAACAAAAATAAGGTATTCATAAATTATTGTGACTTTTTTAACGGTCCATGTCTTCTTTGTAGCTCATCATCTCTGTTTAAAATTTTAAGAATGAAATTTTATAAAAATCCCGGTATGATATGATCTTTTTTTCTCTTTCCCCTAAATATTTACTTTCTAGTGTCTGACTCTCCATCTGATAAGTAATGCCGTGCACTTAAATGTGAACAAAGTAAATAAGACACTTGATATCCTAACGAGAATCAAACACATCGTACTTCCTGTTACATCGTATAAAGATTTTTTCACAGTGATACTTTGTTGCGAGTGTATCCTTTCACAATACGTTGTACTCTTTATTAATTTGTCTATCTCGGAGACTTGTGTTGTAAGTTTATCTAGTGGTTGTGGCCACCTGTCACAGAGACGGACATGGGAACAAGTCTTTTGATATAGAATAAAATGCTACACAAATGTATTTGTCTAGAAATGGAAATTTTACGATGGGGAAGTCGCAGGTTGATGTTGATGTAAAAGATTATGTTGTGTCCTTGGTTTCCAACTCTGGCGGGTAAATAAAATTTCAACCATTCATCATTGATACATCGAAAAGGCGAAATTGAAAGTTTTTTTTATTTATTATGTCTTCAATAAGAAGTTAGCCAAGAAACACGGTACAGTTTGTTCTCAATGGTATGTCAATATTCTGTTTAAAGATGCTACAGGCAAACTCAGTTTATACATTGTCAAACAGGAAATCGATCATTGTCAAATTATATGTTTTTCAGGTGGGTTAGATGTTCAAGCCTTGTCCATATCTTTTGAATTCTTTAAAATCCACGTTTCATTAATTCCACTTCTCGAGTAAACAGTAAACCAGCAAGACTGTGACCTGGTTTTTTGATAGTACTGAAATTGGTAGTAAGAAGATTTGACAAATGCTTAGTTGAAGAACTAGAGGAACCGGCAATAAAACTTATATGCATTCTTCTGAAATGTAGGAATCTATGATAAACGAGGGGGGTCTGTAACCATTCAATTGACTGGCAATATGGAAATGGCAGTAATGAAGCATGATTACCCAGTATTGCGCCTTTGAAGCCCTCGTATAAACACAAACATGGTATTCAGTCTACTTTTTGATTACGCTTCGTAAGCAACGAAAAACTCTTTAATCATAATTCCTCTTTGCACACGGACTGCAGCCGAAGGTCAGTAGATAAAACAATGATTTATCATGTAATAGTATATAACAAGATGGATTATTAATGCTGCTGAGAAATATCCGAGATATACGTATATCTGTATAGTGTAGGGTGATGAAAAGTCTCGTGATTATGACTTCATTACATCATCACATCACGCACACGGACAAATTTGATTGAGGCAGCGCCTTTGTGTAACCACTATCGAGCTGATTTATAATAAATAGCTTACTTTCGTGACAACTGCCTATCTTCCTGTAATTTTGAGTGGATTAAAGAGACTAGTGACTTTCAGAAAGCTTCATTTGGACGTCAGCTAACCTATCTATATGTAGGTAGGGATGGGCGTTTCCAGCGTTAATCAAATGTTAAACTGGCGAGTATGACAACTTTGATACCAATATCATGATTTCCACGAGAGATACCAAACAATGTAGGGAAAACATCATGAGGTCAAATACTATGTTTTTCGCCTCTCATTTGCTTTCCGAGGTTTGTCATTTTCTGTGTCGCAAATGTTTTGCTAAAGAAATTTGATGTTTTTTCTGGGTCCTCCAAGTTTTGCAATATGAAATTTGACATTTTTTTCTGTATTATTAATGTTTTGCTATACTACGTTTGATATTTTCTGTGTCGTGAATATTTTCCAGTGAGAAGTTTGACATTGTTCTGGTTCGTCTATGCTTTGCTATACGTATTTCGATATTTTTTTTGTGTCGCCCATGTTTTGCATTACGATGTTGACATTTTCTGTGTCGTCCACGCTTTGCTATACCACGTTGAACCATTTCTGGGTTGCCTATGTTTTGCTATATTATGTTCGACAATTTCTTTGTCATCCATGTTTTTCTATATGGTCATTAGTTTAGGCGGAAATTCATTATCACTGAATCTGAAGTAACATGCATTTGAGCTAACTTTACATAGTTGATAGTGTAAGAGAAAAGACGCTAACTATTCCGAAACACTGCTCTTAATCTCCATGCACGTTTTAATAATCTCAATGTAAATTTTTTTTATCTTCATATCCAGTCATAGCTTACCTTAAATACGTCAACTTTGAGTTAGAATAACGGGTTTGTTTGCACATCTGTGTTTCCTTTGTTGGTTTTACTCCAGGAAAATTGATCACAAATAAACTGCATTTCAAAAAGAATATCCCTTCCATCGATGTTTCACATTGATGATAATTCAAAACCAACACACCTGTTGCAAGTTACACATTTTAATAAAGTACATGACGCCAGCACAATGTACAGGTAATAAGTATTGTTATAATCATATATATCATATACATTTGTACGTACATATCATTTTGACTCATCGGGTAATGATATTTAAACAAATAAGTTTAAGGCCACTGTAATCATAACAGTTACCATAGTACATTTTAATCTAGACGGTCGTCCTATCTAAGTTAATATCCCTACGTAGATTAAAAACAACCTCTTTGGTGTTAAAATGACGTCATCGTAATTCAAAACATTACAAACTTTTGATGACACAACAGATCAGACATTATGGATTGTATCATATATAATATAGACAATTTCTTTGGATGTTGATCAATAAGTTTAAAAACTTGTTGTATTCACGCCCGGCACAGTCTGACAACTACACAGGTATACATATTATACTCTCGTCAATATTTCATTGCGCTTTATAATAACCTCCATTTGCATATTCAATGAAATAATAGAACAACAGTTTAAAACCAATGATCATAAATTTAAAGTTAAGATACTAAAATTATTACATTAAATGTCAATGCTGATTTTGGCTGTCGCGATCTTGATATTGATTTGAATGAAATTATATTGACGTGAAAATTGATACAATCATGCTGCACCCATACGCTTTTCTGTTTGTTTCGTCGACGATTTCTAGATTTACGATATGATATACACATTTCCTTTGTGCTAACAATTTTAACCTTTTTAAAATGATTATCTATAATTACCAGTATATGATGTTCAAATAAAATAAATTCCATAACAGTAACATGATTTATATATTAAAATGGTAAAAATGACATAAATCCCCCCATAATCACATGCTCCTATGTAACTTATAGTCATCACAGTAAAATATGTGTAACTGCATACTTTTACGCCAGATCAAATTCATATTGACGTGGTAACTGAAGTGTGTTCGGTGGAGAGTATCACTTTAGACGTGGTAACTGAAGTGTGTTCGGTGGAGAGTATCAATTTTTGACGTGGTAACTAAAGTGCGTTCGGTGGAGAATATCAATTTTTGACGTGGTAACTGAAGTTCGTTCGGTGGATAGTATCATCTTTGTCGTGGTAACTGTAGTGTGTGTTTGGTGGAATCACTTTTGACGTGGTAACTGAAGTGTGTTCGGTGGAGAGGATCAATTTTTGACGTGGTAACTGAAGTGCGTTCGGTGGAGAGGATCAATTTTTGACGTGGTAACTGAAGTGCATTCGGTGGAGAGGATAAATTTTTGACGTGGTAACTGAAGTGCGTTCGGTGGATAGTATCATCTTTACACGTGGTAACTGAAGCGTGTTTGGTGGAATCAATTTTGACGTGGTTACTGAAGTGTGTTCGGTGTAGAGTATCGATTTTGACGTGGTAACTATAGTGTGTGTGTGGAAAGTATACTAAATGACGTGGTAACTATAGTGCGAGTATACTAGATATCATCAGTGCGGATACTTAAAGTAACTTGACACATTGACGAAATTAACGATAACAAATGCTGATAATTAACGAATCAAAATGATTGTTTCACAATAAACTGCAACATTTAAACGTGTGAAGGAAGAAGAAAAAATACCTTAGCATTTGTACATCCTTATAACTTCCATGAAGCCGTTTAATTTTCACGGTAGTGATATTTTAAAGCAAGGCATTCATAAATTCGGACATCCAACCGTTATAGCAGCCGTTGCAGATGGTTACATGCAGTGGGAGATACGTGCTTAATATAAACATAATTTAAAATCAATTTTGGCATTTCTTACCCCTCTTCTTTCCGCCAATAGTTAGATGGCAATCTGAAGGACATGTATTGTCAGAAACTACTTTTGTAAGGATAAACACGAACAGTTCAACAAATTAATGCACCAATGGAAAGAACAAATAAAAAACTAAATCGCAATTGTTTACAAACTATGGTAACAGGACTAGCACCAAGGCACCAGCTGAACAACGGGAGAAACAATTTAAAGACGTATATAGTAATACATCTGATATATTACAACGTACATGCGTTTCCGTTTGGTATGTGATTCATGAAAGATTTTTTTTTATTTTAGCGAGCCTCTGGCAAGCTAAAATGAAAACATAGTGATGGTTTTCATAATTCACATATCAAATAGAATGAATTATGATCTTTTTCTTTTTGTCACATGATCGATTATTCAGGCAAATATTGTCGAAAACTGATATTTTCATGAGAAACTTAAATCATTTCGACTCAATCGTCTCCATTATTACGTCACAATATGAGCGTGTGACATCAATAGGTTACATACAGAGAAAAGTGACTTACAAAAATGAGTAAAATTATTTTTCCGGTTATTTCATTATAATATTGAATGTATCTACATTGAATTTTCCAAAAATGCTATCTACATGAGGGCTCTTGTCTATGCTGGGGGTACGTTATCCTCAGCATCAATGTATACTTATGTTTACACTTCTGTATAGTATATAGGTGGAATGGACAAAAGTGTTACTTTGGTATGATAACTGAATAACTTGGCAATCATTTGATAAATAGACCTACTGATATTGATATCGGTTCTATTGCAGATGCGTCATCGCTTATTTTTGGTATGTCATTGGAAATCATCATAACTGATATATCTTACGAAAATGGCATGATATTACGAAACGGTATCGTTGCCTGCTGATATATGTTCACGTTAAGCCAGTTAATCAAGCGGCAATTTCCTTTTCGGAATCAGACGAGTCTACCATCAAATTTGGGAGCTGACGGGTTTATCAGTCTGTATGCCCACACAGCATGCCAGTATTGATATGAACGCTGGAAACATGACTAGAACGTGTTTTCGGCAACAAGTATTATGTCTGAGATAAGGCGGAGTTGCATGGCAAGGTCTGTGGTGGAATACAACAATTTCCCTTAAGAGGCGGTATCATTATCCAGTATACAAACAAAAACTTCAATCATAAAAAAATTAAATACTACATCGTGTCTTTTCCAAAGTACAAGAACGAAACGATGAACAATGATATTAATAATAAAAAATGGTGAAAACAATTTTTGATCTTAGAGATGGCTTTCATTTACCGGTATACCGACATATCATATAACCATTTATACAGTACACTGTAGGGTTGAAGATCAACAGGTCTAAGTTAGATTTGTTAGTAACGCGTGGTAAACAGGACAACTCCCTTCAATAAGGCAAGAACAAACTTGAATCCAGGTGTGTTAAGTAACTATGACGTAAACAAATTGTAATATAGAAAGATAAAACAACGAGTTAACTAGCCAGTCGGTCCGTTAGGTATATAACGTGGTCACGGAGGTATTCCGTCCTAAGCATTCCTGTTATGAACGTGTGCGAAAGATAATCCGTTTCTCGGAATAATGATTGTTGCATCCAAGTTGTCTGTCCTGTCAATATCCAATTTGGCCCCACTAGATCACAACATTATCATAAATGGTTCAAACAGCGCAACCTGTGGTCCATATCTTGGTATGGCATTGTTGTTGTTCCGTACTTTTCATACAAGGGCGTGCCACTGTGTTATCTGTTCTTTCTGATTGGCCACCATCTCATTCCAGTGATCGAGTTCCTTTCCGCGCGCAAACATGAACGATCCCAGGATCACGCGACCGAGCACTTTGTCTGAAAAAGAGAAACAAGTTTTGTATTATACACCTGGTAGTAGAGTTACATGATCAGAAAAAAGTTTGTAAGGACGAGACCCAGAAGCAACTAGAAGCAAGCATTACATTTACATTACTAACTTAGAATCACATTAGACCATATATATGCTGGCAATTAATGATTTATTAAAAACGAAACGAATAAGTTTTAGGTTTCATAAAACAGCCGACACGAAACAAAAATAACCAATATGGTATGTTTGTTCAACGTATCGTTTTTGTATCCTAAAATTAAGGTTTATGAAGTTCTGATTACATGGACTATTCAAGATAAGGTTATGTGACTCCATTTATTTAGAAAGTTAATGTAAATTACTATTCCCTTGTATTTACACACTGTTAACTTAGTACACCTGCACCTACTCAACAACGTAATGATAATATAGAAATAACATGTCACGTGTAACAGTTTACCAAAGAAAATTACTTTGTTGAAAAGAAGGTAGTGAAGTCGCGACTGACTTATTTTAAAACCATAAAAAAGCAAAAAAAAAAAAAAAAAAAAAAACCCAGTTTGTTATGATGTTGGACAAATTCTGTTAATATAACGGTGATCCCCAGCTGGTCATTTCCCATACGGTTTACACAGATGTGTTGACATGAAGGTGTTATACTTGAACACAAAACTATACAACAAGTCCTATTGTCCAGAATAACAAGTGCTCATCGAAGCTTGACATCCGAAAATAGCCAGTCTGGATTATGTTAGCATAACCTGATTATGTTTTTATTCGGACGAAACATTTTACGGTGAAAGCATTTGTTTGAATTACATCAAATCATTGGAGATCGACGTGAGATATTTCATATCGGCAGTACCATTGATAAGGCGTACAAGACTACCGTGTAGTATCAGTGACAATCGACTACCAGGAGTTTATTCATGTTGACTTTGGGGATTTCTTTTTGTCCGGTCATTTGGTACACGATGCTATCAGGAACATTACAATATTTAATTTGATTCTTTGGCTTCTTTTTATTGAATCTAGTTTTTTACAAAACGATTGCATTCATCAGAAAAGACAGGTTTTCGTGTATTGTTTTATTGAGAAGCGTGTATGTCGATATCAGAGATTATTTGTATGTAGGGAATTTTTGAAATGGTTACGTAGTTCAGACCGCTGAACGATCCTGTTGTACCGATCCTACTGGGAAAACCTTCTACAGCATTTCTAACACTTTTGTTCTAGACATAAACAAGTTATCAGATAAACTATTTAGAATCAGTGTATTAAGGAAGCACACACAGTTTAGCACGCTGCCTTTAGCCTTCGGTAGAACAAGTTCCAAAGAGTATATTCAAATTAACCTTTTTTACTCTTCAAAGAGGATACGGAAAACCAGTTTATGCAATAATGTTTTGAAACAGTTAAGGCTCATCTTAAATCTATAAGCCTGTCTTTGTGAAAAAGCTCTGAAATTTTATAATGACATTATAAATGCATTTATTTTGCGGAAACTTGAAAACAATCTGTAAATTATTTATATAATTGGTGGTCTCAAGGGTTCAAATATCTAAGTTTCCCTTGGAGAATGTCGATAATTTATTGACCATACGTACTGTGTAAAAAGGTGGAGATATTACTTGTACATGTTCTAGCACATTCCGTGTAGGCCATATACCAAAGTTCAATAAGCCAAATTAAATAACATAACAATAGGGAAAGCAAGAGGTAATGTAGTAGCAAACACAAACCATATTCACGTTCATTACCTCTCGTCATAATTAGATACAGTAGAGACGGATAATGAATTGAACTACAAAATACTGATGCTTCGCTCTTCCAGTGATACTAATTCTATTTGAAACCTTAAAGGCGACTGCGGAAAATCAGGCAAACGAAAGGTTCATCTTTACATCACTTTGTTGACAGAACAGTATGGCGTCAATCTTTCACGACAGGACCATTTCCCCTGAGCGGATAATTACTTATATGCATAGGTAGATAATTCATAAATTATATTTTAAAGCCTGATGTAATTTTTTCACAATAGTCAATGTTGAGAAAGGTATGTTTTTGATAACAGTCTTTCAAATAAATGCAAAATTAATCTTGAAATAATAATATGCAATTTTGATACCGGTACTTCATTTTTTAAGAAAAAGCTATTTACCTGTGATATTTCTAATAATTAAATGGAGCGAAAACCTCCATTTATTAGGATGTCTATATAGTCAGATGCCTTTTCATGATTATTGGTGCTGAATTCGATAACCATTAACTATTCGTAATACCATTATACAGAATCATTTGGTCATTTTTTGTCCTTTGTTCTTCTTTCAGATCATCAAACAATTTGACCACGTATCGACGATGAATATTTTATTCTCACCGACGATGGATTGAAGAATAATCGTTTTCTCTTTTAAACGAAAATAGGTCTGTCGACTGGACGAGAAAGGAGAATGAAGCGATATTTAGAGCAAAGCATTAAGAAGAATGATCTGTAAGACATGTCTGGTGATAGAATCCGTCATCAATCAAGCACCAGGAATGTCTGTAAACCTGGGGACATCGATCACATGATTCTGTGGGGGTGGGTATACCTCATTGTCATGTATCTCCATAGTCAAACGTATATACTAGTGTATGATTTTATCATACGAGCTTTAGTATTGTTTATGTTGGCGAACCTTGACGAGAAATATCAGGTAGCGACAATGAGTCTACTGGGCAGATCATCAAACATACTGATTTTGTATCTCGACAGGAAAGAGTTCTCGATGATATACTACTGAAAGCCTAAACTCCCCATCAACCTGCATGTCTCAAAACTTCGTGTTCTTAGCATGTCCGTCAGCAGTCGACAATATCACGGAAATCGTAATATTGGAAACAGGCCCTTGAATATTGAATTAACCGCAAATTGTCAATAAAATAAATGTGGAGTAGGCCTTGTCGATTATATGTACTGCCTATAACTCGCCCACGCCTGTCGATCACAATAGAATCAACCTATATAACGAGAAAGTAAAGATTGATTAAAAGAAGTATTTTTAACCAAAGTTATGCAGGAGTTGGGCTTTTGATCATATTTAATTATTTTGTAGATGTGTGAATCATGCTACAGATGAGTCATTTAAAAATATTCGAAGTAACGTAGTATTATTTGTAACTTATTGAAAATTTTCATGAGTTTGTGGATACCAATATTTTAGTGTGATCAATATCATACCGAATGCCAAACACCTAGACGTATACTCTGAAGTGTATTAAAACTGTTCTAGCTTCATGAGCCTTGTAAATGTCTGGTTTATTTGTGATCATAGCCTATGTTCCTTCCCCTTGAGTGTTGACGATGAATGTAGTGCCATCATCTACATCCTCTCATGAAAGACGAACAATATATCACGAAGCTTCGTTGGAGAGTTCATATTGTCACTACGACATGTTGTATATCCCATTTGGACCCGACGCTCTTTAAAGAATGTACATGTCTCTTACAGTATCAATCGATAATTAAGTTGAATGCAAATACAGCGTACTGATTACACTATATCAGTTTTACCCCTACATCACCTCAATACAGATTTACATCTGTTGCCTCCTACGAAATACACATATGTTCTCTCACTTTTCTGTGTGTATTTTTCCGGATAAAAAAGTGAATGATAAAACGGACAAGATTTTAAACCGTTTTATCGTTCACTGCTTCTTTAATGTCACGTATTGTGGTAAAGTGGTACATGAGGATAATGGTATTCTGCCGAGATCATGAGGGTGTATTAGCACTCTACACAAAAACAAAATAGAACATTTTTTATTTGTAAACACTCTCATAAAATTATAGAAATCTGTGGACTTTAGTAGTCATTTCTATCACGGAACATTTATTTGGTTGGGTTATTATGATCTGAACAAACTTTCTATTTATTTCAGTAAAATGGTTGGTAATTCCAAATTGATGAAGATTTTAAATGATAAATTATCTTTTTCCTTTATCAACAGTTATTTTCTTCCGTAAATTGTTGGAAATCGTATATATTGGTAATGGAAAAACATGTACAGATATCCGTCATGATGTCTGATAAGTTTGATGGTTTCTTTTGAATTTTTCATTTCTGAATAACAATATTCTTACATCTCCAACCTTCGCTGTTTCCATCTTGCAGTTGATTCCATAATGAAATATTTTTTTCCATTATCGCGATTTATAACAGACAAACTCCCAATATAAGGTTTTTTTTAGAGATGCAAGTTTATGAAAATTATGACGAAGTTTAACGTTTGTCATAATGATCTCATTTGGACATATTTCATCTATTTCCTTTGTGCAATATGAAGTCAGACCTTTTTGATGTTTGTTAGTATACCTGGGGGTTTGGCATTTTCACCTTGCTTTCATTTGGGAACTTACCTATTTGGATTGACCAATATTTACATGCCGGGTGTTGTCGATAAAGCGAAAAAATCATACCCTTCCGGAACACCTGGTCATATATTCCTTGATTCTCCGTGAACACCGTTGTTTTCTCCATATTTTGCCAAACTTGGATATGTTTAACTAATTGCTTTGTGTTTGAACACTCGTTTCAGTTATAGAAGATTAAGTACTTTCAATGAGGTGAGAATGCAATGAGGAGTCATACATTGGACGTACTAGTCGTGCCAGTAGAAGGACACATGGTCGTCTAAATTGTCTTGAGTGATGAAATTTGGCCGTCTCCATTATATGATGTTGATAAATTAGTCTCACACATGTACACTTACTTAAATAGTAGAACAAGTCATGCTAAATGCACGTAATTTCACAGGGTGTGAATCTTGTCTCCGAGGAGGGGTTCAAATAGTACACACTTTCCCACGAGTCATCCGTACACTTCAGCATGCCGCTGACAAGTACAACCTCTGTCTAGGATATAATACCAAGATATAGGTTCTGCTAATCACTTTCAAGAACCCTAATGATTGACTAGCGTACGTTTAGGTCGTAGACCGCTTGTATGTAATGTCTTGTTTGACCGTGTCTTGTAATACGTATTAAGTATCCTGTCATGACCATGTATTGCCAATAAAACATGCTTGCTTTGCCATAACCAACTTTTGACCTCTTTCAAGGCTTTTAAGGCATGCTGATGAGTATTTGTTAGTTTAATATACTATTATCAGACGCGAAAATAGTAGAGCCCACGTTTCCAAATACTTTCAATACACATATATCAAAAAAAAAAAAAAAAAAATTGACGACCGGATTCATCTATTCTTACCTCGTTCTTATCATCTTCAATTATATCAAAAGTCTTTTTGTCATCAATACTTATTTACCAAACATTTATAACTAAATTGTGTCTTGTTGTTTTATTGTCAATGGAACCTGTAAGTGCTGACATGAAATCGACCGAGGATGTTCATTTCGTCATATTGATTTGTAATACTGCCACATATTGACCAGTAATAAGAGGTTGGCTACACAAGTTTATCATTATAGCTTTGTTCGAGAGGTTTATACAGGCAAACAGTAAAAAGATAATAATATCGTATTTGTATTTATGGAAAAATAATAAAGATAAATGATCGTAACTTTTCTGTTCTTTAGTTACTCTCTATGGATTATTGGGCCTATCAGGTCAAGTCAATCACCTACAATAGCGTTGGGGACTTTGTTAGTCCAGTTTTGTTGGAATGCTCCTTGATCGTCTGAAGTTAGTTTGCGAGCTCAGATAACGATTATATGTAAATAACCAACGAACGTAGTAAATGACTTTCTCATTTACATCCAAAATGCTGTGTAATATAAAAAGACCCCCAATGGGAAAAGAACACGACATGGGCTACGTTGTCGTGTATCGTTTCTTTAGTATCTAAGCCTGCAATTTAACATTAACGCATAACTTTTACAAAACAAAAATGCGATTTTTACGATACACGGCAAACGTTAACTCTATTGGCATCCTTTGATGAATAAAAATGTTGGGTATAAGTGTATAAGTGGAGAGGATGATATATTCTTTTGCAGTTGACAGCAAACATGACAAATATGCAATGGAACAATAGGTATCCTACCATTGTAGTACATATGTTGTTTTGTTTGAAAGCTTATTTTCAACACAACAGCCATAATCAAGAACATTGTTTATGCAATGTGTTTTAATAAAATACTTTAATTTTATCTTGCAAAATTAAGTTTGTGTTTAACTAATGTATGATGTAGCTAAATTATTTTTTTGTCTCTACTATATCTAATTTGTATCTAAAGGTGCTATTAATTTGTATTGTTTTGCACAACATATCTTTGATATATACCATGATAAAATACCGTAGAATATCACCAGATTCAACAAAAATGTATATCATACTGACCCTTGTGTCCACTTATATGTTGTACGGCCGTTATGTTGAGACTGGCAGCGTCCAGATTTGCTACTGGCAGTTTGAAGGTAAAGGATTCACTAAAATTCGGACAGTCTGACTTCTTTACCACTTCCGTTTTCTTTGATTTGACAACACGGTTCTGCACATGTAAACATACTTTTACGAAGAAATCTGAAAAAAATGACAGACAGAATTTCTAGAGCGAAGTGTTGGGCACCATTTATTGCTTTCGATAAAAGGATAAGTCATTTCTACCACTCCTACTGATGGGTCTGCAGACTATATTGACAGATCAGAAGCTACTTCCACAACATCCTCGACATTAAGACGACTCACCAGTAACTAATCTGTATATATTTATATTATCTAACAAATGCTGCTTTAAGTATTTACTTTCAAAGTATGTGCTACTAACCATTTTGCTGTTTGTATATCCTATAGAAAAACCTAATAGCTATTCTTAATGTCCCTCTATTGTGATTTTCCTATTTAGATTTATTGAAACTTTATTGTAACTAAAAAAAATTCGCAGACCAGTTATTTCTGTTCAATTTAGCTCGCTGCCGAAGTTACAAAGAATTAACTTTATGAATACGCCATGAGTTTTTAGAGGAAAATGGCATAGTGTAATACTGGAATATTTGTCTGAAAGCCCAAATCAATCAACGTCTACAAAAAATCTTTATTAATTTATTCCTTGAAAGGCTTTGTATTGAGGGAAGGTCTGCTATAAATCAGACATAAACGAATATGATCCACAATGAAGTAATGACATCGTTGAACAGCAACAAAACCTAGTTCATTATTTGCTGCTATTGCATATCTACCTGTTTACAGAGTTGCAAAAACAAAAATCGCGAAGAGTTCCTCATCGCGACATCCACTATTACCAAATGTACGTAAGTAAAAATGGATCAATATTTTCTCTGACGTATCTGTGTTTAAGAAATGTATTTTTCGAAATCCATCCAAAATCAGAATTTTGTCATGCTCGTGACAATGTATTGCTGTTTAAGAAACAGAACACGCATCGATCTTACATCGATAGGACTTAATTAAGTACATGTTAAGTGAATTAAAACTCACAAGTAGTAGAAGAAGAAGAAGAAGAAAAGGAGGAGGAGAAGATGATGATGAAAAGGAGAGAGAAAAAAATGTTATCAATGTCAACCACGTCGTAAAATTTATGATCTAACATTTATTCTGCCTTGACATCTAACGGTTATTTGATAAGTTAATTTCATGATTGCCCCAAGTTTGTGATTTTTCGGATGCATAAAATTTCACTAGAATGCTGCCATTAAATCAATGTATGGCTTCGTTTAAATGCCAAGTAATGTAAACACAATAAAGCCACAAGAATATCACGCGAGATCCGATTTAATGGATTAAAGAAGACAATCAATGCACAATGTAAATAGCCGCCGGATTTTACGGTCACCGCATTCCGATTTTTATTTATTTGATTGATGGAAGTTCCGTTAAGTATCCAGTATCTTGTCATAGTGTGCGTGACTTCAGAATCTCGATAATGAGATGAGGAAAAAAATTGTATACGTTACCAGCGCTTTTATATCATCATTATCTCAAAAAAAAAATTCAGTGTCCATTAAATATCTTATAACAACGATATAGTTTCACAATTACATTATTCGTCTTAAACATAAAATTACGTTTCGGCGATAAGAGAATACCATTGATTAATAAGTGAGATGTACTTACCACTTAAAAGGCGTATCGAAATGTCGGACAATGCATAGATTTACAATATACATTTGCACTGAAATGACCCACTTAATAAGTTTGATGCAACTTTGTTTACTCGACTTTTGTCAAAAATTGCTGCTAAATAAATATTCTTCATATAACAGAGAGAGTAAATAAGAAAAAACAAACTAATCAAAAGATACAAGTTTTCTTTTATGTTACAATAAACATTAAGTTCTCTGTTTGGTCCTATTTTCAAGATGTGAGCGGCATTGAACTAACAATATTTAATCTAATCAGTATTTGGACATAAATGCTCTCAGTGCATGGTCAATCAGTCTCATTGGGTGGTCAGTCAGTGCCTACTCGTGTGATAAATGCTAAGGATTCCAAACAAAGTCGGATATATAATAACCGGCGCCGCTTCTGTAAATGGTATGTCCTCACTTGCGTAGAATACATTTAAGATGGACTCTAGGATTTTTAGTCTGTAATTTCGGAAAGCGGAATTGGTCTTGAGTGAATCTAACTTTCCCTTCATTGTGTTACTTAATCACAAGTGTACTGTATTTGTGTACAAGGTGATAACAACTTACCAGACTCTATACAAAAATTCCATATGAATAAGATTGATCATGATATAAGATTATTAACCAACATACGTTTTGCTTCTTATTTTTCCATGTGGAGTAACTATTGAGTAAATGATAAGACAGAAGGAATTGCATTATTCCTACCGTTTGCGCCTTCCGATTTAAGTGCACGGCCCTCAAACACTCCCACCGTTAGCCTTTCCAGATGGTTGTTGTAGGATAACGACACTAGAAGCTCTCCCTTGTTGGTCACAGTCTGTAAATGTGGAAAGGTTCATATAAGTAGAATAAAGAAAACTTCAACATGGGATGCCAAAACCTTAAGAGAATATAGACATTTCAACAAAATCACATTTCAAAGTCAAAATTGGTTAAAGGAGGGCAAAATATATACAAAGGGAAGCTTGACACGGAAACCATTGAAAATATTCAGATGAAGAAGGCCGGTAGTCTTGGAAGGTTCAGTGTCTGGAGATTAAATCAACGACATCCACCATGTAGGCGAATTTCGCAAACAAAAATAAGTGTTCCCAAAGTATATCACATGTAATTACATTCAGTAAATACCCTCATTATATCCATATTTTTCATTACATGTGTTATATGACCTGGTGAAACTTTGATTGACTGACGGTTCCCATTTTTCAGTTGTGACGTTATAGCTTCATGACATCATTTGTTTTGCAGCGTCACCAATGAATGAGACATACAGCTAGAATATCACCATTGTAAATAGTATATCCGTATATCATGCTTTTCACGGTCGAGCGGAATAACTTTTCGGGTAAAAATTTATTTCAGGGGGAAAAAGTTTTCAGCACTGTATAGCAAATATCAGTCTGTATCTAATGAAGATGAAAATCTTACAACTTTCTACGTAAATATCCTTACCGTATACCACGTTTTATGCTTGTGAGATAGATATGTGAAATTATGAAAGATCGATTAGATAACGTCAGCCATACTTTATAGGTGTAATGAAATAAGACATTTTCAAAAGTTTTGGGAATGCTGTTTAGACATTTCGCATTGATAAGTGGATAATGAATTACCAACTATATAAGTCTACATCAGCCGCTTATCTTGATCTTAACCAAGATTTACATGGCGGGTGTCGTCGAAGAAGCAGAAGACGATTACACTTTCGGAACACCTGGTCTTATTCTACTTTTTTCATGAATCTCCTTGTAATTTTATCTTTAGGTAATATTTTCCCCTTGTTTAATTGGATTTAAGTTTGGGCTATGATCATGTTGACATGTTAGAATTTTCTTTTTTTAATCACAATGAGAACATTATACCAGTGGAGGATACCAAGTATTTAAACGTCCTATCAAAATTGACAAAGATCAGAAAAAAATTTAGATATTAAAGACAAATCTGGTTTGTCGTTTTTATATTATATGGATCAAGTTTAATGTTTGTCAAAGGCATGTAACCATAACCCTGCATTTCACAATCTACCATACCTCTGTGACTTCTCGTTCCAAGTCTCGCCATATCACAAGCCGCTCGTTACTTTCTCCGTCGTGCTCCTTGAGAGGGTACAGCGCATGTCCAATCACGTTGTGCCTTTTATGACGATCTACGTCGTAAACTGTAAATTTTAATACTCTGTCCTGCAAGGACCTGGTGGAAACCTGCAAAAATAAGCAACTTACAAAACAAGAAAGTCCTACTTTATTCTGCAGAAGGGGATTGAATGTTTCTCACTAAGAACATGCTGACAACATTGAAAAATGTTAGTGATTTTATCAACTTATATCTCTCAAAATCCGATATTGTAGCGGAATTAAAGTTATTTCGAAATATGAAAAATCCCTAAAATACAAGTAGTTAAGGCATATGTTTGCGATGTACAACCATTTCTATCATAACATAGAAAATACACAACATGGAAATTGAGATAATTAAATTCGTTAAATTGTTGCTGGCAACGTTGTCAGTACCGTATAGCTGGTAAGTTTTAACTGGTCAAAATTTTCGCGATCTGGATGTGAAAAGACATCTTATATACAAGTGTTTCATCATTTCACAAATGGAATTTTTCGCATTAACGTACCACGAAATAGCGAAAAAATTATCATCGCGAAAACTACAGGTTTAACTGTCTATGTAAGAAAAGAATTAAAATTGGTTATGTCCCTGAATTCAAGCTGGTGTTTTCTATGAAAATAAACGCATTATACTTGAGAAACTAGACTGTAGCAGGTTTAGACGTTAAGAGCAACAATAGTTGTGATAGTAAAATTATAGTCAGCTTACTTGAAACACATAGCTCTCCTCAAATTTTGGATTACATGTCTTCTTTTTAAATTTGGATTGTAGATAACGTCTCTCGTCAGGCATCAGGTATATTCTGCAAAACATGGCCAATGTTTAGATCAATAGATGTGGTAAATGTCAAATTCATTGAACTGCACCTTCTGCCTATTTGAATGTTTTTTTTAGCCGAACAGAGACGGCGAAAACTGAAACAAATTGAATAAATGATTGATACAATGAATATATGTAATCAACTAGAAATTCTAAGCTTTGGTTTTTATTTTATATTTAATCAAAACAAAAAAAAGTTTTAGGCGAAGATTCATCACCTTTTGAAAGTCATGGTTTTCCCTGATAACGTCTAATTTCCTGTGTAGTCCTTACTTGCATTTTACCTAATATGGAAACTTTCATTAGTGACAGAGACAGATTTATTTGCATATGTGTTGTATTGACTACTCAAAACAAAAAACACTTCCTCTTTTAGCGTCGAGTATTCCCAATCCTTCATGCCAAACTGAATGACATTGATTAACATTTTTTGTTCAGTGACAACATCCATGCACACGCAATTATACAATCAAGGTACATGGACATCCTTTTATGACTGTGTATGGAAAACACAGCATTTATCAATCTTCGCAGAGATAGGTAAATAAGATCTTGATTTGTAATCACTTCGGTGTGGATAATAGCGGGGCTGGCGGGGAGAAGGATAGCCTCGTTGACACTCCACTGGTCATTAGATTCTCTAATAGCACACGAACAATTGGCATTACATTGAACACACAGCTACTTTGCAATTCTTAAATGTTCAGCTGTGTTTTACGACGCGAACTCATGCCAACTATCTCCCCTGAGTAGTTCTTTCATTTCTTGCATGAAACCTAAGCTTGCGGGGCACGAGAGTTCAGCTTGACCAATAACACGACAAGCCTAATTCGTGCCACGAACCCAACATATATCTGAATCGTGTGCAGTAAATAGTTCATTACTTACAAATGAAGATGTATCGCCAAGATTTATCGAACAAGAATACACATTCTCTTCAGGACGTTTTGTCCGACATTTCGGTATCCCGGTGAAGGAATATTTAATCAGACTAGCAGACGTACAATGGCTAGCTATCATTGTACATAAAAAGGCGACATTGACGCAAATATAAATGAATAGCTCACGTTTTTGTCCGACTTAAGTGGAAGAGTCTGCAAGAATGACTAGTCATTTTGGAAGGGGGAGAAAGGGAAGAAGGGAGAGAAGGGAGGGGGATTAGAGGAGGGAATCAACGTGTAAATCTTTCCTTTGTTCATATTTTGATCTAATCTCACCGAATTTGAGTTTGAATACCGATTCTGTTTGTTGACTTGTCGGTTTTCAATTATCAGAATAACTTTAAATAAAAAAGGAATATGTGAACAGATGATCTGCATCCGAAATTCTTTTCTTGCATTATACACCTTTCTTCATCATTCCATTAAATACACAGGTATGAAGCATGCATTATGAGAAATATTATTCAATTCAATTTTCTGAAATGATGTGTTTATATTTTCCAAATAATGATGGAAAGTAGGTTCGTGCACACGTTTCCTCTCGGGAGTATTTTATATACCAATTGGACAGAAATTTGATGGAAAGACCCAAAGAAACTGTTCAGTGCTCCCGCGAGACATTATAGTCATCTAACATATAGACAGGTACCTTTCACTACTGGCGACGTTCTCGCCAACCGAATGCCTTCATATGCATACTAATATATGTATGTATGTACAGAAGTCGATTTTCGCGTGTTCGATTGGATGGAATCGATTTACACACTACACCAATTTGTTATCATTCGTGAAGAATATCTTAAGATGGCGTGTACAGATCCCTTCTATTCCGCATGGTAAATAGCACTAGACAGTAAGCCCTAGTTACCGAGTATTGGCTAGTCGCCTTTAAGATGCTAACTTCTACACTCTAGCTCGTCGTGATAGTACTTTCATCAACGTCGCCATCAATATCTAGGTCTAACCCAGGACAGCCCTTAGGATGGACTTCCGGTAGAGGAATCGACGTAAACTTGATATGCGTTCGTCGGTCACTATATATGAGGACATTAGGAGTTTTTCGGGAAACAAGTTCGTCGAAAGCAATTTCCGGGAAATAGATTTTTGTGTATTTAAAAATTTGCAATTCAATAGAAATGCAGAAACAAAGTTTCTTTATGTTCAATGTGTCTTCATTTTGTGATGGGGGGAAGCACTTCCTGTGCGTGCACTTTCTGCTTGACGTTTTAAAAAAAACACATTGTCTACACCACAGGCAAATAATTTCCGGTGAAAAAGTGGCCATTAAACACAAAATGACCAAATATGGCACGCCTGCAATTAGTCCCAGAGGAAATCCTTTAAACTATAGCAGTTACCACATTTACATGAATTGTAAATAGCCCATAGATAGCCTTCGTTTAAACATCAATAGATTCATTTCTTCATTGGTATTTTAGTCGATTTTGTATTTAGTTGATTTCCAAATTACTACTAACACCAAGATTCTTACCGCAACCAAGGTTATTGCTATATACGACTCCTCCTTGGCGGGCACCAGATTTGGCTACTAGTGAAAGATGGCCTTCAATTAATCCAGCGTACACAAGATAACAATCTAGACATAATCAACACGTCCGAGCGAAGTATACTTATTTCAACAATTAGATGCTAGCATTTCCATTGGAAACAGAAAGAGGAAATATTTCTATTATTTTCTATAACATCTAATTTTACTATTAATGATTAAATTATACACTATCATATATATAGGCAGGTTAATGCCAATACTCTGGGGCGAAGAGTTGATAATGAATGCACTATTGTAAATAATGTTTCGTGATGTAATAACGTCATACGGTCGTAATCGCTGACGGTTTAGAAGATGGAACAAAATTTCAGTCAAACGTTTGTTCTGTCAGAAGCAATTTGGAATTATCTAACGAAAATACCATTGTATTCTTTAATATATTAATAGCCATTACGTTGTGCAGACATCACTTAGAGCAGCATACAATCCTTGGATCAGCTTGTAGTCGTATCTATAAAGGTATGACATTTATGAGTGTATACGAGATATTTTACTTTTAAATATTTATCCCATGTGTGCTGTCTAGTTTGAAACTCGAGACAGCGAGAACATACATTTTATATATGAACTGATTTATAATGACATTTCAGGATAAACAACTTGCCCACGAGGCAGGTATCACACACTGTTATTATTCTTTGATATTTATGCTAATAAAAAATGTAAGTTGTTTATTTCAATGGAAGAAATACTATTGCATCTTTTTGTGGGTCACTATGTCTATATTTGGGCAAAGTTTTTCCTCAGTCATGCTGAGTATGTCCGAATATTTCCCTCTAGGACATTAACTGACAACAAACAATAAGCAGACAACTTGACCACCATGATGGCAATATACCAGGAATTTGTCGATTAACATTCTATTGGAAAAAATACCGTAGGTACCAATTTCTAAATTTAAGATTGAATGATGATACAGGAAAGAAGAGTAAATGACCACATGAATAAACATTTTAATCAAAGCAAATAAACATTACATGTGCACATACATATGTAGCTTTTGATCTTCTTTAAGACATAAAACATATGATTCATGCATCCAAAAATACCAAAATCCCATTTTGCAACGAAAGTAAATACCAATTCCTCGTAGCTAAATCAGCTCGAGCAATAAGTAGCAAGGAAAAAGAAGAAAGCAACACCTACCTAACAAAAGGATCACAGCTGCTATTGTTGCCGTACTGTCGGGTGGGAAGGTTCTTGGACTTGATCAAGGTCACCAGCAGTTTCTCTGTCTCCCGTTCGTATTCGACGGCAAACCACACCCTCCCTATGTGTTCTGGGGGAATTTCGTAATCATCGTCCTCGTCCACAATTTTATAAAGGCTTGGGTCGATGCTCCCGAGAGCGTAGGCACCTGGAAGAAATAGTATAAAGTTGTTCAGAAAGAGTTCTTATATATTCTTCTATATCGGCGTAGTTAAAAATCTTTAACATTTGTTGTTGTTACCACAAGAACTTTAAAGTTGTTGAGATGGGCCATTGTTTGTTAAACCTTAAAACAATTATTGAACCAAGGGTGAATACTGTTTGAACAATGTAGTAAATAACGTGACGTACCCGGGTTGTAACACTTTTTGAGGAAAATTGTAAAACTTTTGTTTGAATCCTGTATTTTGCTTGGAATTTCACAAATAGGTTTTTAGCTATCATATTATTCACCAGAGCGCGTGTCTATAGATAAAACACAAAAAAGCATGCCAGGTTCAGCAATACGTTTAAACAGGTAGGGAACGCCTCTTACATTCAGTTCAATTATAGAAAGAAGTGTCATAATCTTGGATATATTTCTAAATAAAAATTCACTAACTTTCTCATTAATCTCAAACACTAATCTATCGAAAATATTCAACAATCCTTTTCATTGTTTAAAAACATGACAGAATATTTGTGCAACATGGAAGACATTAGCTGATAAAAAATCCCATAATACTATATAAACACCTTATTTCTTGTTCCGAATATTTAATAGTCAATAAAAGTTGTGCAGCAAATATTTGAGAAGTGTTCCATTTTGGAAAGCGTCAAGTTAAATCATAAGTAAAGAAATGGACACAGAAGGGATATTCTTCAACGATGAAGCTGCTCAAAACATAAATAAATGTTTGAGATATATGTTACAGATTGTAACACTCTCTACATAGAATCTTAAATGAATAGTCACCTTATGTATGGTTTATGAAATAAGTCTAAGAATTTTTGCAAGCCCTTTGCGAGCCAAAATAACAAATGTAATGAGTCTAAGGTGTGCGTTATGACGTCAAAATGTAATGCGAGGATGCTAGAATATGATGTCACTTCGTAATCTGAACCTTACCTGAACCTCAACATGTTACACTTCATAAGGAACAGTAAATTAACAATATCGTATGTGTTTATTTTGTGAGAGATATGTGACAATTGGAATGTGAAAATCGTCTGTGTTATACGACCTGTTTGCAACATTGAGCTGCTGTTTAATGCGAACGCTGGAATGTTTTAAGTGCAAAATGTAATCTATTCCCTAGTCACACATTCCAAATTATTATTTCAATTTTAATTTCCCCCCTTCAAGATGTTTTGTGACATTATTATTCAGATAATCACACTAATTTGCCATTAAAACGACATAAAACATCAAGGCTCGACGAACGCACGTTAAATAGGGTTTAATCGATGACCTGTGGGGTGATTCATCTTACCATATTAGACGAGATTCCACAGCCCACTGTGGTATTAACTATTTGTGATTGGCAATAAAAAATAATTCTAAATATTTCAATTATAAATTCAGTTTTTTATCACTTTGCTCATTTTCCTTGCAGTCATAAAATTCACCATCTGCCCTGACCTGTAATTCCGGTCCGTTACTGCCATGGTGAATATTGATGTTGTTAAGGCTAAAGGTTTTCAGACTGACGTCATCTCTAAGATTTCCTTAATATATATGTAACTAACATGTATTGACATTTCAACCTATTTCATTTGCTCCTGAAGGTGCAAGGAAGTATACATTGGTTTGGATATGGGTTTGATATTTTCTTAAGTTAAAACATATAATATTTTTTCCTTTATTTCTCATTCTTCAATGTTGAACAATGATTAGTATCAAACGTCGACAATATTAAACGAAGATATTTCCATTCTGCAATTAATTCACTAGTTGATATAGAAAAATCGAGATTTTTTTCTAGTTTGCTCTAGAAAAATTAAATGAAATGAAATATAAACAGTTACAGCAAATAACTATTTGTACACGTATGTATACATTGTGTGAGGTCAATTGGGAAGGAACACGTCACTTTTCTAAGCGTGAGCGTCTGTATTGCATGGATGGGTGTGTAATACAAGAACAGCGAACTCGGGTGTATTGCCCTGGACATACCAGTAATACACAGGTAGAAATTAGTGAAAACCTGTTATTACTGCAAATGGCTAAAATAACTTACAGGGGTCTTCAAATCAGAATTCATAATCAAGATTAATTGCCGTGATCTGATATTACACACAAAATAAAAAAGGAGATTAAAGGCAAACATGATATGATGAAGATCATGGCATATTTCACGTTTAATCGATTAGAACAGATTATAGGTTCACCAACATCATTATCTATTATCAAAACTTGTAGATCTCCAGTATTGTTACGTAAATATTGAATAGTAAATTTATGATACTTGCCTCTATATTAGGATACTCTATTGATAAATAAAGTTCAGGTCTGTGCTTGATTAATGAGCATTAAGGCACAAGACTTTATAGCTGCATTAATAAACGATATTGGTTTCCTATAAATAACTTTTTTTCATCTCAAAATAACATTTTAGCCGTTTTACAACAATTTAACAATGTTAATCCCCTTTCATATAATGTATTGGACCTGTTCAGTCCAGAAATGTATGAGAGAATGATTTAATGCTTAAACACCCAAGATGAGCATTTCCATTATGAAGATGGTCGACATCGCATTCAGCCTAGTACGATGCAGCATCGAGTCAACAAGGATATATGGTGACCTGTATATCAACTACCGAAGTAGACAATAGTCAATTATTTGTTAAGGGGCGAATTCTCCGCGATTCCACTTTTGATAATGTTTAATGAGATTTGTTAGAACATAAGTTTATTTCAACAATTTTTTTCAGATACTTTTATTTTCAAGCTATAATGTATATGAATTGTATGGCGTACAGCTCATATTTCGTAATTAAACAATACTACAGAAAGGACATTTCTAGAAATATCTTATTATTAATTCTCCGTTGAAACCGACACTTCTGTTCAACAGAAGGCCATGTTTTGTTAAAAAGAGTGTTTTTGCCTTGCTGTTTTATGTCTCTAATGTCGAGCACATACCCTTATAACAGAATGTATAAATGTCAACCGTACGAATCTATCCTAATGGAGATCTGTGAACGAGTTCAGATATCTTACTAGCAGATCTCAAGGGTGTATCACACCACATAGTTCTGCAATTAACACTTTGAATCTTAGCAATAACATGCCGGTATTTGACAGATGCAGCCTTCAGAGAGTTTCAATCCACGTTTCAATGGCAAGACAAAGCAATTAAAAAACTTATATTTCATGTATAAAACATTTAAACTCTTCTGTGTGATAGGTGCACTCAAATAAAGATTTCTTTCCTGAATCACCAGTTTTAGTCAGCCCATTTCAAATCATCTAATTTAGATACGAGTATGAGATTTATCGGACCGTCTATGTCATAGATAATGGAACAAAAGGTACTAATAATTCATCGAAGTCATAACCGAATATTGGAAACGATTTGTAATTTTAGAGAAAATTTCACGTGAAGGTGATTTGAAATAAAGAATGACAAGGGCAATAAAAAAAACCTATGTATATCCCCCGTGAATAAATGTTTTGGGGTGTTCAGCGTATTGAGAGATGTCTTCTTGTTTCAGTGCATCACCTGGATCTTATAACAGAAGTTGAAAGGCGTGGATTGATGGAATACCCTCTGCGGTGAAAATACAGTTTAAAATTAGTTTCCGTTCAGCTAATAAAATCGTTGTTGCACGTGCGTCTCTATGTTTCAAGTGTCTACGAGGATAATTAACAATTAAAGACCATTATTAGTATCCAATGCATCGGAAACTCACTGTTCGGAAAGATAATGTATTTTAATGCTAGCAAAACGAATATTAACTGTTATATTGTGCATGTATACACAACCAATATAACCCTCATCACAACCAATATATTCATATATAGCAAACTTCAAGTTATTATGTTCGTTTAAGCTATCTACTATAATCAATATTATCAACACATAGAGAGCTACTTTTCTATGCTCCTCCTTTATTATTAATCTATTTTGGCCCTTTTCCCGTACAATATCATCTTACCCACCCTCCTCGTTTTCCGATTTTTATCAATACATTTTAACACCGTTAATCATTGTCGCCGTTGTTTTTAATCTTGTTATATGAAAACGAGTCTTTGTTTACATGATTGACCAAGATTTACATTGCGAGTGTAGCCGATGAAACAGAAGACGCTTAACCTTCCAAAACATCCTGTTTTATCATCTTTGTACATTTTCAAGGGTCTCCCTGTATATATTTCATTTGTTCATTATTTGTTCTCAGTCTATCCAATTCCAGGATTGATTATGACTCTGTTGACATGTCAGTAATTTCTTCATTGTGTTTTAACCATGTTACAATGCCAATTACAGACCCTATACTCCCAGTTTAAGTAGTTACGTAGCGTCAAAGACGTCACCAACATCTTCGTGTCAGAATTGAAAACAAAAGAAAAGGAACTCAAAGATGTGAACGATAAAAGTTTCCGCACTAAAAAAATTTAAATACGCAAGCCACAATAGTTTTGTAAGCTTCCCTACATTGTTCAGCAATTCCTATATGGACAAAGTCTGAAAATAAACGTTCATACACTGTCAACAGGTTATAAAATCAATATTGTGTACTTTTCCTTGTTTGTTCAGTAATGCCGTAGTGAAATAAATTACTCTCCGTAAAATTAAAATTTAAAACGTACGGTGTACACGCAAATTAAAACAAAGCTGTTAATCCGTATTCTCATCTGTCCCTCATAAACTATCATCATCCAGCACATCAGTCGAGATCCATCTTGTAGCAATTTATCTAACTTCGTGTAATTTCCACAAGGTTCATTCAACTTAAAGGGCCGATAATTACATTCTAAAGTTGACTGCACTACTAACGTTAACTATTCAGCAACTACAGTGTAAGCTACATGAACATGTACATGCCTACGTGAGTATGACGAACAATTTCGTGATAACGTTGACTAATGTGGGCACAGCTAATCGCTCGTATTCTGCTGCAGCCTGGGACAGATTTAACACGACATGCTGTAGGAGATTAT